TGGAAGATTAATTCCTAAGAAGTTCAGGCATTAAGGTGTTATTTTTAAGTCAGATCATAGAACATTCCCCAAACCCTCGCCATGTAATTGATTAGGACTTCCAAAAAATCAGAGTTGCTATGTACTCAGAGGAGTAGAATTTGAGCATTTTGATTTTATTTAAACCTCAGTAATCATCAGCTCATTAGTTACTAGGGGTGTGTCTGCTAAGAACAATCTGTCTGTCACCTGTCACTGGGCTTTTAAGTGTCTGTGATTTCAGATCCAGAGCTAAGACAGGTAATTAATGAAATCGTGCAAACTTCAGTTGAGAAATGTACTATTTTTTAATGTTATACATATGAGTGCTGCTTTTTCAGGTAATTTCACATTCTTGTACAATTTCAATCTATAAAGAATGGCATATGGACTGATTTTAGCTCATTTGTTAAGGTGCATTGGCAACAAACTGTCTCAAATCTGTTAAGTTATATAAACAGTGGTTAAATCTATTTTATTTTTTTTTCATAATTAATACATCTCAGTTTCTGGAAGGTTTCTAGAATCCATTTTTACACACATACACTGATATTTCACCAAAACACTAAGTTCTCCAGAACCCTAAAGCTTACTGGTAACTTCATATTTATTGAAGTTACTAGTATGATTTTGGGGGAAAAAACCATCAGAGTACAGATACTGTGAATTTTGGCAAGTGGAAGCAAAGAAAGCCATTGAGAGAGGTCAGCATGGATTCATCAAGGGGCAATGATACTTGACCAATCTGGTAGTCTTCTGTGACATTGTAACTGTCTGGCTGAATGAGGGGGGAGCAGTGGCTGTCATCTACCTTGACTGCAGCAAGGCTTTTGACACTGTTTCCCATAACATTCTCATTAGGAAACTCAGGAAGTGTGGGCTAGATGAGTGGACAGTGAGGTGGATCGAGACCTGGCTGTGTGACGGAACTCGGAGGGTTGTGATCAGTGGAGCAGGGTTGAGTTGGAGGCCTGTAGCCAGCAGTGTCCGCCAGGAGTCAGTACTTGATCCAGTCTTGTTCAATATATTCATCAATGACCTGGACAAGAGGACAGAATGTATACATCAGTTCACTGATGATACAGAACTGGGAGGGGTGGCAGACACTCCAGGGGGCTGTGCTGCCATCCAGTGTGACCTGGACAGGATGTAGAGCTGGACAGAGAAGATCCTAATGAGGTTCAATAAGAGCAAGTGTAGGGTCCTGCTCTTGGGAAGGAAGAATATCATGCAACAATATAGGTTAAGGGTGGACCTACTGGAAAGCAGTTCTGAGGAGAAGGATCTGGGAGTCCTGGTAGGCAGTAAATTATCCAGGAGCCAGCAATGAGCCCTTGTTGCCAAGAAGGCCAATGGAATCCTGGGTTGCATAAGGAAGAGTGTGGTCAGTAGGTCAAGACGGTAATTCTGCCCCTCTGGTCTGCTCTGGGGAGGCCACATTTGGAATCCTGCATCCAGTTCTGGGCTCCCCAGTTCAAGAGAAACAGGGAACTACTAGAGAGAGTCCAGTGGAGGGCAACAGAGATGACTGAGGGATTGGAGCATCTCCCATATGAGGAAAGGCTGAGAGAGCTGGGACTCTTCAGCCTGGAGAAGGCTGAGGAGAGACCTTATTAATGCCTATAAGTATCTAAGAGGTGGGTGCAAGGAGGTTGGAGCCAGACTCTTATCAGTAGTTGCCTGTGACAGGACAAGAGGCAGCGGGCACAAGCTAGAACACAGGAAGTTCCATTTAAATATAAGGAAAAACTTCTTTATGGTGAGAGTAACAGAGCCATGGGATAGGCTGCCTAGAGAGGTTGTGGAGCCCCCTTCTGTGGAGACATTCAAAACCCGCCTGGATGCAGCCCTGAGTGATGTGCTCTGGGGGATCCTGATTTAGTGGGAGGGGGTGGGGGTTTGGGCTAGATGGTCTCTAGAGGTCCCTTCCAACTCTGACAATTCTGTAATTCTGTGACCTCCAGGGAGGGTGTATCAACAGGCTCCCTAGGCAACCTATTCCATCACTTTACTACCCTCATGGTGAAGAATTTCTTCCTGATGTCTAAAGTAAATCTCTCCTCTTTGAGTTTAAAACCATCTCCCCTTGTCCTATCACTACCCTCTCTGGTGAAAAGCCCCTCCACAGCTTTCCTGTAGGCCCCTTCAGGTACTGGAAGGCTGTTATAAGGTCTCCCTGGAGCCTTCTCTTCTCCAGGCTGAATAGCCCCAACTTTGTCAGCCTGTCTTCATAGCAGAGGTGCTCCAGGCCTTTGGTCATCTTTGTGGTCCTTCTCTGGACCCTCTCCAACAGCTCCATGTCTTCCCTATGCTGAGGGCACCAGAGCTGTATATGGTACTCCAGGTGGGACCTCACCAGAGCAGAGGGGCAGAATCACCTCCCTGGCCCTGCTGGCCACACTTCTTTTGATGCAGCCCAGGATGCAGTTGCTCTCTGGGCTCCAGCACACACTGGCGGCTCATGTTGAGCTTCTCATCTACTACCACCCCAAAGTCCTTCTCCTCAGGACTGCTCTCCAGCCCTTCTGCCCCCAGCCTGTATTTGTGCCTGGGGTTGCACCGACCCAGGTGCAGGACCTTGCACTTGGCCTTGTTGAACTTCATGAGTTCATTGGCCCACCTCCCAAGTCTGTCAAGGTCCCTCTGAATGGCATCCCTTCCCTCTAGGGTGTCAGCTACTCCACACAGCTTGGTATCATCAGCAAACTTGCTGAGAATACACTCAATCCCACTGTCCATGTCTCCAACAATGTTAAATAGCACTGGTCCCAATACTGACCTCTGAGGAACACATAGTGACCCCTGAAGAACACCTATTTTCTTACACAGAAGTATAAGAAATTGTTATTGGACCTTTATCCCAATAACAATGAAGTTACTATATTTAATTGCACTATAAACTCAGGAAAAACAGGACTGGAAAGGATCCCAAGATGTCATTTTGTTCAAAGTTGTGTAGGACAACAAAATAGACAAAAACTTCACACAAATCCTTTCTGCTTCTAGCATCCTCTTTGTGTATGTGCACTTTCAAGTCATCATTACAAATGAATGCGTTTGCAAAATACGAATGTGAAGGGAACATTAGATTTCACATATTTAATTTTTAGAACAAATATGTTGTCCTGTTGCTGCAGCCTGCTTTCACACCCAGCTAACATGTCCTATCAGAGTAAACCAAACACCTGGAAAGCTGGTTTGGAGGACAGGTACTACACCTCATATGTCTCCTGTTGTGCGTCAGGCTGGTTGGGGCTGCCCGCGTAGTGTGGGAACCTGAGCAGTCTGAGCAGGATAGCTGGAGGAGCCCCAAGAGGTGAGGTCTGCTTTGCTTTGTAGATTGACAGAAGAGCAGCTGTAACTGTGTTCTCTTCTCTCCTGGAGAGCTGCTGCTAGCTGCTTTGTTGGTCTCCTCTCCGCCTTTCAAGCCTGGTATTTATGACAGCTTTGCTTATTTCTGGTGGATTTTTGTGCTAGTAGAGCTATGTCTGCCTGTGCTGTGTTTGCCTCTGGCCTTAACCCAAGCAGTGTGGAAGGTGAGCATGTATTTAGCTGCCTCACCGTGAAAGCAGAGTGCTAGTCATTCCAACAGCCTCTGAATTGCCAATGATTGCTGTGCCTTGCATGACCTTGGCAAGAAAGCAAGACACTTGGTCTGTTGGCTTGCAGCCCACCATCCTATCCTCACTGGCTGTGTCCTTTTTTACTTTCCTTGTGTCACCACCTGGCTGGGGGCTTTGACAACCATTTTGAGAGCCCCAAGAAACCATCCCACATTTCTCCAGAGCTCTGGATAACCTTCCCTCACTAGTCTTGAGCATACCTGCCTATTAAAGAGCAGGAGGTAGACATGAGGACTTGTGTATCCTGTCCTGTAGAAGCAGTGGTGGAAGTCTGCTTTTATGCTGCTTTGTGAAGAGCTGACAGCAAAGAGCAAGGAGCTGGTGGGTGGTTTGCTTAAATAGTCCTTTAAAAGGAGTTGGTGGGAAATGAAGTTGTTAGAGGGAAACTTGATAAAGGCTCTGCAATCAACAGCCACAGATTGGAAATTTGATAAAGGTTAGAAAAGTTAGTGGTGGAGCTGGTGGCTCCTGCCTTGTAGGGTTTGTAGGGAGCTTCTCAGAATCACAGAATAACTTAAGTTGGAAAAGACATTCAAGATCATCAAGTTCAACCACTAATCCTACTCTAGCAAGTCCACCACTAAGCCATGACCGCAAGCACCACATCTAGATGACTTTAAAACACATCCAGGGATGGTGACTCAACCACATCCCTGGACAGCACGTTCCAATGTCTGACAACCCTTTCAGTGAAAAAGTTCTTCCTAATGTCTAGTCTAAACCTCCCCTGGCACAGCATGAGGCCATTTCCTCTTGTTCTTTCACCGGTTACTTGTGAGAAGAGACCAGCAGCTATGTCTTTACAACACCCTTTCAGGTAGTTGTAGAGGGTGATAAGGTCTCCCCTCAGCATCCTTTTCTTCAGGTTAAATAGCCCCAGTTCCCTCAGCAGCTCCTCATAAGACTTGTTCTCAAGGCCCTTCACCAGCTTTGTTGCCCTTCTTTGGACATGCTCCTTTTATATCCTAATTGAAGAAGTCCTAAGGTGTGGGAGGGAGTGACTAGCCCTGGGTGACTGACTGGATGGATATTCTTCTCCATCCTCATTTGCCTCGCCCTCAAGTTCCAAAGCCCCATACCTATTGCTCAAGGGCAACTGGGAAGGTGAGGAGGCCGGGAGGGGTTTTGCTTGCCTCTCCAAGGAAAGACCTGTTTCTATTCCCTCCTGTCCCTTAGGTCCCCTCCTTCTGCCTGGTGACAGGAGGGGAGGGGATCCTCTACTCCTTGTAGAGCCTCTACCTGCTGTCTTTGCCTCAGGGTGTGGCTCCACCAATCTATTTAGCTTTCACATTCTGTGATGCTTCTTAACCTTTCTACCTCCTCCCTGAGTTCAGCCACCTGCCTGAGCAGATCACTTACTTGCTCACACCGCACACACGTGGTGTCACTGGCTCCTTCCGGTACCTGTGCCAGGCTCAGGCATTCGCTGCAGCCCCAGACCTGCACGGCAACTGTGTTTCTGTGGAATCTCAGTCTGAGTTCCCACATTCTTTCCACTGTGGCTTTTGGTCGTGTTGTGACCATGATCATCCCCCAAGCCGGGAGGGGACCAGTCACTGCTTGCTGTGTCCCACGCGCCCAGTGCACGTGCCCCTGCACACTAATGTTCCTCCCCTCACACTCACCCACATGTGTCCCCTCTGCTATGACTAACTACTTTTGAGCAAAGAGTATTTTTCAGCAAAGAATCTTCCTTCTCCCTCTCCATGATCAAAACTTTTCTCTCTCTTTGCCCCATTTCAGCTCTCAGAAGAGATCAGCTATCCTTCCACTACCAGCTTCATGACAATGCATGCCCCATACTGCCTCCCTAGTAGGGTGCTGATGGGCACACCTCTTGTCCCGCAGGAAAAAGTGCGGAGGCATGCAGATAGCTTCACCTCTGTCCTCCATGGGAAGATTTTGGATAGCTATTCATCCAGGGTCAGGAGAGGCCATGAGCAACCCTTGGGCCATGTTCTCTGCCCTTTTCCAGGTCTCCCAAATAATACAAATATTAGGAAAGTGTACAGCTGTAGGCAAAGATCAGACATATGCTTTCAGAAGTGGTTTAGCAAAAGTGTCCAAACACCATAAAGACTTTTTGGTGCTATCATACTGTTTTTGCTCCATGCCAGCAGTGCTGAGCCCCTCCTACAAATCTTGTCATTTTTCTTCCATGGTTAGAAGGTAACACACTTAGTCCAGGTGATCAGTTCAGAGACAGTAAAATTCATTGCCTTTTTGAAGGTCCCATCCCGCTTAAGAAACTATTTTTAAACTGCTTGAAATTCCCAAGGCTCCTTCCCAGTTACTGACTAAGGAAGTTCCATCTAGGGGAAAATTCTTCCAGTTACTGGAAGTGGAGTTTCTCACCTACATGTTGCCCTCAGGTAGAGGAAGGGAATGCATGAGTCAGATTTTAAAAAAAACAGAACACCTCCATTGTTTTATCACTCATCAGGATACACAGATTTCATGTGTGTCATTTGCTCAACTCGCCTGCAGCAATTCTGGGTGTATATCTGCCAGCCCCAGTTTCTTCTCTTGTTGCTGTGACTCAAGTCTTACTGCTTTAGGACAGCAGCTGCATGGCAGTGTCAGTGGACCAACAGAACACCTTGGTGTTGCAAGAAAAGCTACAGAGAACATGTCCAGTGCTGCCATCAAAAGTCCCTCCTATTGTAATACAGCTTAGAGTTCAGTTATCACTGTACGATCAAATTGGATTTGTCAATGTCTCAGACAAATTTCAGTTAACAAGTTGCACAAGATGCTGTTACAAGGCTCATGGATTATTTACCTGTCTGTTGTGTGCTGCTATTGAAAAGGAACACTGGGAACCTCGCTGCCTCCATTCCCATAGATACTGTGAGTCAAGCAGGTTCTAGACTGAAAAGTGCTTTGAGAGTTGATGTGCTGAGGTAAGAAAGATCAGTTGAACAATGAGCATTCATGTCCTGATCTGAGAATCTGACTGTCTCAGGGGCAACTGGAAGCTTTGAAAGCAAAGAAGAGTGTAGTGACTGGCATCCCTGATCAGCCAGTACTGCTGCCTGTGCTGGGATGAGTCAGCCAGCACCTTGAGCTGACCTTGCCCTGCTGTTCTTCACTTTTCCTCATGTGGCTGCCCAAGGCGTTTTATTAGAATAGAAGAGAAATTAAGTCTGACAATACAACTCTCTAAACTACATTGTAAAACAGAATGAAGAAGATTTTGAAAACAAATCTATCTTCAACTCACTTGGTCTTTATGAGGCAGGTATCTTTTCCTATAGGGTTTCCTTGAGTCCATCTCTTCTCTCCAGGCTCCTGCCTTGTCTTCTCAACATCAGCGTAACTTCTGACCAAGCTTCTTCCCTAAATCATTGGTTTGATGCAAAACTTGTCTTCTCTGATTGGTGCCCAAGCCCTTTATTTACTATGGCACCCATCTCCTGAATCTGTTATAGCCATAACCATTTAGACAGCACCTGCAGGCTTTGTTCCTCCTAGCAGCTCTGAAGTGCTAAGCCATGCTGGACTAGCTGAAACTTGAAGCTGTGCACTTTTGCAAGCTCATCAGGAGAATGACTGACCTGTCGTCCTCTCGGGGAACAACCACCCACAAAAGTGAGAGGATTTCTGAGACAAATTGCTCATCCAGGAAGAAAGGTAGTAGGCTGGAAAGCCGATTCCCTCACATCAGCCTCTACCTTTCCTGGAAAGGCTCCAAAGAGTATCTGAGCCTCTTCTGATGTGGGTTGGAAAGAAGGTTCAGAAGGAAATCTGGGAATGGCAACACAATGGAGAGCTTACTCAATCTTGCAAATCCTGTCCACACCAAACAAGTTCCTTTCAAGTATGTGGGAGTTTTGTTACTCCCATGACAGTACTAAATCAGCTGGAAAAGTACTTTATGTTTGAGTGTTTAAACCAAGAGGGACCTGCATCAGTGCCATTGTGTAGCCAATTGAATCATGCCCTGACTGTCCTGCAGGTTGAGTCTGAAGAACCCAAGCCACAGCTTTGGACCTTTAATCACAGCCTTATGCGTTGTATAATGCATTTTTCTGTTGCTGTCCTCATCTAAGGAGTGACCATCATGTTCCTTTCAGCTAATTAATCACTTTATTGATAGGCTAAGCATACATGTAAAATTAAGTAATTGGCAACACCGTGTGTCTGTTGATGCTGTGTATCTTCAAATGCCACAGTTAGTGAGACTTCTGAGCTACACATTTCTTCCATAAAATACCATATCTGTCTTCTGAGGGGCTTTGTACCTCCTTTGATGGACTGTAGACCATCATGTTCTGCTTCTTAATTTAACATCTAATTGCTTATTAGTCTTACTGTAAAGTTCTTTATTATTTCATTTTCATGGCTACAGTAATTAGTGTTTATATTCCTGAGGCCTGCGTAGCAGTGCTTTAACACCATGTAAGGAGATGAAACACTCCGCAGCAGAGCCTGAACTGAACTCCTAGGATTTCTGATTTTACATCCTCAAGTTTTGTAGAGCCTTGCTGTGGGAGTCTCTTCAGAAACGGATCATGGGTAATCCAGTCTAGTAAATTTTGAGTGGATTTCTCAGCACAGATGCAGGAAAACATTCACAGAAAGCTTCCAGGGTCATGCAGCTTTCACTGCACCGAGGAACTTGGGCACTTTTCAATAACAAACATGTTTGTTAGTGCTATGATCAGCTGTCATTTGCAGGACTTGAACAAAAATATTTGATGTTTGATTTGGCTACCTTCAGCACTTCTGTATTCTTGACTACCATTTTATAAAATGTTGGAGAAACTTCTAGAAACATATTAGAACTCATACTAAAAATGAATTCCACTCTGCTAACATCTGTTTCCAGGTGTTTTCTCTGGTTTGCCTGATTTTTATCAATCGGGAAGGCTGTTCTTTCACTGGAGTGGTTACCTGCAGGTGCTGGCACTGTGTTATATTGAACAGGCACAGGGTGCTGTGCACGTGGCCATTCTGCTGCCTTTCAGATGAGATCCAAATCATTACTGTTGTGGTGGACATGGCTTTGTCTTCATTGGTTCCAAGCATTAACCACAGGCCACTGCTGTGCTGCATAACTTGGTCTGTGGTGTTTCACTTGTTAGGCTAAACGCCTCTTTATATTTTCATGGACTTTTTCCAAATGAAACTTGACCGAGTAATTAATAATACATTGGCAAAGTTAAGCTTTTTAAGTTTTGCATTCTTTCCTGCCAATTATTCTATTAAAGACTGGCTCGCTGTGTTGCTACAGAGCTTCTCTGTGAGACTTGGCTTTGGTTTATTCAATAATACGTGCATTTCTGAGAGCAACTTACATAAGAGTTGGCCTATCCAAACTTCATCTTCATGCAAGACTGATTTTTGACCACTTGATGGCCTTGTCAGATATCAAAGCAGACAGCGAATAAAGTCCTCAGTTCAATATTCATGTAAGAGAGACAAGCAGCCTTGCAGTAACTGCACTTGTGTCTAACCTGTCGTTGCTGCTTTTTTCCCTTCCATTCCAGGTGCTGGAGTGTAGTGTCCTGCAACTGCTTGGAGATTTCGCCATGTGACCATCTGTTGCTGGCCAGGCTTTTCCAGGGCAGACAATAGATTTCAACCCTCCAAAGTGGGAGCAGCACTGCTGCCTCTTGTACTGGTGTGACCTGTACTCATCTATAAGGAGCTAATAGGACTTTGAAGTCCCTGCTCCTTCCTCCTCCTCCTCTTCCTCTCCCCGGCCTGGGGTTTGTGGCAGTGTCTGCTGTCAGTGACACAGGGCAGGCGATGCTGGCAGCTTGTCTCAGGGGTACCTCCAACTTCTCTGGAACTGCTTTTATGCCACACACAGGACAATAAAGTGATGAGTCCCTCTACTCTTGTTAGAGCAAAGCAAATCTGTTAGCTTTAATCTTGGAAGTCTTTTTCATAATATCATTTCTGCAGCAGCTGGTTTCCATGGAAACCAAGAAACCACTCAGCACGTACAGGAAAGAAGACCGCCGACCTGCTTGTCCTTCCCCAGCCCTTCCTGCTGGGCTTCCCTCCCTTTGTACATGCATTGCTCATTGCCCTGAGGTCGACAAGCACTGGCCCAAAGGCTTCGTCTTGTTCCACCAGCAGCAGCCTGAGTGCAGTACCTCTCCCAGCTGCTGCCTGTCCTCATCCTGCCTCATCCTGCCTTTGTGGGCAGCCTGTCCTGCAGCCGTGGAAGGAGGGCAGAGGGAGGATGGATGTCAAGAGGACTCTTTGCCCCTCCTACCACTGCTGTAGCATTTGCAGGCCCCAACAGTGGTAAAAGAATTTCTGGTTAGCTTTGAATGTACATGTGCCCCTTCCTTTTTGAACCCTCTACCCACTTACGTGATGTATTTTGTTCACTTCTTTCTTCCACTACTCCTAGTACACTCCTATAGGTTAACTTGTTAAGAAACTATATTTAGGATTTGAGTCTGGTATGTTTTGCACTTAATTTACAAATATTTTTGAATTATTCTTAACTACTATGAGAAATATCTGCTCTGGTTAAGTCTTGTCAGCTTGTCTGCTAGCATCTCCAGGTT